CTCACTTCTTCAGATGCAGCTGGACTGTGAGTCCATTTGCCCTTATATGTTGGAACATGAAGTGATTTCAGATGCTAAAAGACAAGAGCAGGCATTGGCAATGAGAGAAGAAACCTAGGTCTCAGTTCAGTCCAGGAGTTTGCATTGTCTTGATCAGTTGCAATTCAGCAGTCTCTCTTTCTAATCTCCCTTTGAAATTCCTTTGTAAGAGAACTGCTACTCTTAGGTCAGCAACTGAATGCCCTGGAAGGTTAAAATGTTCCCCCGCTGGTTTCTAAATGTTGTGGTTTCTAATAGTGGTAGAAAGAGTAAGAGTTCAGTAGCACCTTTAAAAACTAACAAAATTGTGGTAGAGTATGTGCTTTTGTGAGTCACTGTGCACTTCTTCAGACTTATTTCCATTTGTTCTTTGTATCCTTCTGGACTGAATCCTCCTGTATCAAATTGAGACCTAGGTTTCCTGTCTTATTACCAATGCTGATATCTCCACCCCTTGGTATATCACACCAATGTTGCTATCTCCACCCCTCTGCACAGCACACCTAATCCAATCATGCCTGCTATTGCCATTTGGCATATGAAATCATCTTTATAAAGTTTATATCTTTGGTACCTCATGTTCCATTTTATGGCACACATGGCCTGGCCCAGCAAAGTGACATTTATGTCAGATCCAGCCCTGGTAACAAATGAGTTCGTCATCTCTGTACAAGGGGTTGCAAGGGAACCTCATTCCCCCCTGTATCCCTTTCCCCACACTATTTCTTCTTTCCCTTCTCCTGGCATCCCCTATATCTTCACCTTCCCCTGCTTTCTTCTCTCCTTCCCACCAACCAACCTGCCTTTCATTTGCCCTATTTTCATATTTATTCTTTATTTACTTACTTTATACCTTGCCTTACTCCCTAATGGGGACCCAAAGCAGCTTACATCATTCTTCTCTCCTTACAACAACCTTCTGAGGTTAATTAGGCTGAGAATATGTAACTGGCCCATGGTCAACCAGTGAGCTTCCACAGTAGAATGGTGATTTGAACCTGGATCTCCCAGATCCTAATCTAGGATTGTCAGCTGATGGTTGGCAACTGCCGGTGGTGACAGTGTGTAATATGTGCATGATGTGATGTCACTTTTAGGCAAAACTGGAAGTTATACCAGATCACTCTAGGGGAGGTCCAGGACGAACTCGGACCCCTCCCGTCAGCCGGGTCTCGGCGCGTCTCCATCAAAGCAAGACGGGACGTGTCCGAGCGGTGAAACGCTTAAACCGGAAATCCCACGCCAGGCCCTCCTGTCTTCCGCCATCTTCAGGAGTTTGCTCCATTTTATGTTCGTTGCATCAGTAATACTGTCTAACCATCTCATCCTTTGCCGTCCCCTTCTTCTGTTACCTTAAATCTTTCCCAGCATCAGGGTCTTCTCCAGTGAGTGCTCCCTTCTCATTTGGTGGCCGAAGTATTTGAGCTTCAGCTTTAGTATCTGGCCTTCCAGGGAACAGTTATGGTTGATTTCTTTTAGGTTTGACTGATTTGATCTCCTTGCAGTCCAAGGGACTCTCAAGAGTCTTCTCCAGCAACATAATTAGAAAGCATGTATTCTTCATTAGTTGTTGTAGATTTTTCTGGCTGTATGACCGTTGTCTTGGCATTGTAAGACCTGACGTAATACCAGGACTTTTGTTAAGAACATAAGAGACACCAATGTTGGATCAGGCCAAAGGCCCATCTAGTCCAACGCTCTGTCACACAGTGGCCAAAAATACCAGGTGCCATCAGGAGGTCCACCAGTGGGGCCAGGACATTAGAAGCCCTCCCACTGTTGACCCCCCCAAGCACCAAGAAGACAGAGCATCA